AAAAATACTGATTTAACGAATTATTTAGACTTCATTAAATTTTTCGTTAATTTTAATTATTCGTTAATTTCTTTTTTGTTTAATTTATTTTTAATTATTTTTATTTTGGAAGATTTGGAAGATTTGATTAAATATACGTCGAATCATGCCAGAAATGCTCCAGCTTACGCAAAATAGTTTTATTTACAGAGTCAATGCCTGAATACAAATAAAAGAATTACACTTCGAACCTCTTTTATAAATTTAAACTTTTAATCAGCCCTTTTCAGAGCTACAACTATTATTATTATAAACTTACGAATATCTCAGTACATCAAACGCTTACGAATTGTGTTTTTTATTTTATTGTTTTAACCGTGTAAGCAATAGAATGTTTTCTTTTAATGGAATATGTAACGCTTAATAACGAGAAATTGAACTTTTGAACTTTTTAACAATTATAAATAATTTACTCAAATTGTTTTTTATGAAGGAAAATTTTTTACAGAGCATATACGCAATATGTAATACTTTAAATACGATTATTTCAAAATATTTAAAATATTTTTATAATATTTTTGACATTTTTTTAAACAATTATTTACCTAACGTCTAGATCATAATTATCAAAATTATTTATTTTATCAAATATAATTTTTCATACTTTTTTTATTTGAATAATTTTAACCTTTTATAATTTTGTTAACTTCTCTGATACAAGATATTAGAAATAATTTTTACACATTTACGAAATATGTGAAAACGTTTCAAAATATCGATACAATCGTATTAAAGTTTTATGAGATTATGTAATTATTGTAATATTATAAAGAAATATTTTTGCATAATCTGTTGTTAATTTTTTCTGAAAAATAAAGAGAGAACCAGCTCTCTCAAAATATTTTAAATTATAAATTTAAATATTTTAAACACTATTATGAAAAAATCAATTTTTTTGACTTTTCGTAATTATATATTCACGTAATTAATAAGTATTCGTTAAATTCAGTATTTTTCTTATTGTCATATGCAATTGCGCGACAAAAAAATAATTAAAATAATAGAATGCTCAATTCACACATCATATAATTTACATTTATTTTTATTTCCAGATAATGCTACGAAAGCAGACATTTTTTTTATTGAATCGTTACGTAAGGAAAGAATGAAAACAATACTTATTTTGTTAATTTGTATTATATTTTAAACAATACAGTACGTGAAGTCGTCAAGATTAAGTACCGCCGCGCCGGCCTGAGAAATGCACGCCAGGCCTGACCGCTACGCACATACGCGCGCTCATTCGTCACTTTTAATCTGATCCACTGTAAATATTACTCGTCACACGCAATTTTGCTAAAGAAAAAAATTGTTTTTTTTAACATAAAAAATCACGTAGTGTACTCCAAATGCGGGAGTTTTGGGACACCCTATATATCAATATCTGATGATCAATATAAAAACAATTAAATATAACAGTGATGCAGTATCATAAGAAAATTAAATAAACAAGAATGAGAAAATGTATTGTTAATAAAATCAAAAAGTTTAAAGAATAGCATATACAAAAAATTTTTTATCAGCAAATAGTTGAATAAATAAAATCAAAATTAGCAACAAAAGACTAATAAATAAGTCACTAACAAGAGGAAAGCGCGGACTTGGGATCACCGATTTTGAAAAAGCTTATATATTGTCGCGCATGCGGCGGTCACAAATCGCGAGTCGCGTTATGCGGATGAGCCGCACGCGGAATAACAACTTTCTTAATAAAAACTTGAGAACTTTATTAATAACGAAACAATTACAACACCGCGGACACACGTCCGTCCGCCTCAAATCTGCACGTAACAATCAGAAAACCGCGCGTAACACAGAACAATCAATGACACGTCAGGGAACGATCCTCTGTTTTAAAATATCGATTCTTTTAATATTGATTTTCTCGAAACGACGAGCGGAACACCGCGATCGTAACAATATGTTAAAGTACTCTACTAGAAGAATACTTAAATAAAAGGATAGGACGTCATATTCAGTTGTTTTCAAGAAAAATCGATTTAAATTTATAGCGTTCCTTATATATCGGTCGCATTAAACTCATTATCGTCGAGATCGGGTGTTTGGCCCTATACTATCAATCTGTCAATCGGGTTCGATTCCTGCCTATTATACTTTTTTTTAATCTAGAAAATATTTATTTATTATATTATTATGTTAAATATGTATTATATTATTATGTAAAATAAATTAATTTAATTAACAATTATTTATATTTAAAATTTTCACTTTTAACTTCAATTAATAATTTAAAATAATTATTATAGTTCACTTGTTTTTATGATAAATATCACCCAAACAATTGTAATCGAACTGCAAATATTAAGGGTGATAAAGATGAATAAAAGTTTTGGCACATTTCTCGAAATTACTTTTAAATTCCTTATTAAATTAATCATTTAAAAAATTAAAATATACTATATTAAACTATGTTAAAAGTGACATTTTATTAGTTTTATATCGAACAGAACACGTAAAATAATAAGATTGTTAATTGAATAAAAATTAGGTTCAAGTAAATTATTAATTGAAGTTAAAAGTGAAAATTTGAAATATAAACAATTGTTAATTAAATTAATTTTATTTTACATAATAATATAATACATATTTAACATAATAATATAATAAATAAATATTTTCTACATTAAAAAAAAAGTATAATAGGCAGGAATCGAACGGGAATCTCGGGTCGATAGATTGGTAGTACAGGGCCGAATACTCGAGCTACCCAATCTCGGCGACAATGAGTTTAACGCGGCCGGTATATAAGGAACTATAAATTATAACTATAAATTTAAATCGATTTTTCTCAAAAGCAACTGAATATGGCGTCCTATCCTTTTACTCAAATATTTTTTTAGTAGAATATTTTAACATATGTAACCTTTTCAAAATTGGTAATCTCAAGTCCGCGCCCTCCTCTTGTAAGATCAATAAGCTGCAAAGGAAAAAATATAATAATTACAATTGATAAACTCTTATACTCACTATAAAAGACATAGTATACCGCATCATAATTGAAATAAAATGGAATAAATAAAAAGGAACATACCAAGTTTCGATTGAAAGTCATGGATATAATAAATATCAGAACTCCAATATTTCAAAGCAACTTCAGACTAAATCTAATATGAAGATATATGTCGATATATGTCCGCAGAAGGAACATAAAAGGTATCCAAAAGCACGAATTTCAAACCGTTCCATCGCCAAATCGGCGATGATATTGACGAAATAATTCGCTGTGAATCCGTCACAGTAGATTATAGATAATATCCGAAGGATGCGACCTAATTCGCAAACGAATATTGCGTATTATTTATTGCCACGTGTCAATGTTCCGGTCATTTATATTCACTTATATCATTTATGTCACTTATACCATTTATGTCACTTATATCACACAATCTATAATAAAATATTAACAATAATCAAGCCGCGCATAGTTGTACCTGATTTCTCGGGCAATG